GCATGCCTGTAGTCCCAGCTACTCGGGAGGCTGAGGCAGGAGGATCGCTTGAGCCCAGGAGTTTGAGGCTGCTGTGAGCTACGCTGACGCCACAGCACTCTAGCCAGGGCAACAGAGCCAGACTCTGTCTCAAAAAAAAAAAAAAAGGTATATGTTGGTTCTCAAAACAGAGTAACTTGGGATTCATCTAGCTACAATGGTACAACTCAATTCGAGTTAATTTTCTTCCTTGTAAATTAGTGCTTAGGTATCTTAGAGTTCATCTTAGAAAGACAATGCCTTTGAAGAACTGCATATACTACATTCTAGCAATTCTGCTTACAGGTATCTACTCTAAAGAAACCTGTGTAAGGATATAGGACTAAGATGTTCACCACAGTACTATTTGCAACAATGAAAAGATCAAAACCAGTTCACTGACACAATGGGCTATTATATTAAAATGAATGAACTACATGTGTATGTTACAACGTACCTCCAAAACAGCATATTGCAAAAAATTACATGCAATTTGATATCACTTATGTAGAACTTTAACAGACAAACTGGGCTATATCATTTAAGGATACACACTTGTTATAAAATCACATAACAACAGCATGGGAAGGACTGACACTAATTTCAGGATAGTGATTAACTCTGGGATGAAAGGAGGGAAAGGTACTGGGAAGGTGGGGAGTTAGCTCTAGCCGGGTAGCAAAATTTTATGCTTTTAAAAAATAACCAGGCTGACCAAAGCATACTCTAACATCAGTATAACATGGCTTTGCTGTTGTCTGTGGATCCAATTACAATTAATTTATTTATCCCAGGGTTGTGAGCTCATGTGGGCAGAAGAACACAGTGGTAGCAGTTGAGAAGTCAGATTCTGATATCAGGCACTACTGGGTTCTAATCTCAGTGGCCACTAATTTGCTGTGCAATGCCAGACAAGGGACTTCACATCTCTGAGCTCTGACTTTCTTATACATGTCAAAAGCATAATGGAAGTGCCTCCTTCCCTTGGGGTTGTTCCAAAGAATTAATGTCAGGCTTTCCAGCCAGAGGACACACACAACAAACAATATGGAAAGCTTCTATCACAGCTGCAAGATATGAGAAGAATAGTGAGACAGCCCAGAGCATTACAGTGGAGATTAACAAGAAATAAGTTTTACAGCATGCCTCACAGGACAAAACAGGGTTCGAGAGATTACATGATTCCTCCTGTAAAGAAAGTGACATGGGAAAGGGCTCTCCAGCAAAGCCTGATGTTCTCCGGGGTATGCCACCACGCACAATTTAGAGGAGGTGCAATTCACCAGACTAAAAGGGGAGGTAAAGCTGATTATAGTAGCTTAAAACATTAATGCTTTTATCCGACCAGTTATACATTAATTTCAGTAAGAATTTAAGAAGATTGAAGATTTCAAAAACACTCTATCAGTCAAAGAGCCACAAAACTAAGCTTCTTTAAATAGATTAGGCTTCCAAGAGAACAGTGCAAGGAAAGCTGATTCGATGAATGCAACTAGAAAATGCAGACAGGATTTTCTATAGTTAGATTTTAAAACATAAAGCAGCTTCAGCATTACGTGGCAAAGATTATGTGAGCCTTCTTACTGGAGATGTTTTTTATTCTATTAGAATCTTAAGTGAATTCTTTCCATTCCTGTTTTAGCTGAACTTTGAAACTCAGGAGAGACCACCCAGCTTCAGCTACTTATACATAATCTGATGATACTAAGCAGCTATGAAACCGTTAAGCCCTTTCGCTCTTCCTAAATATTCTGTAATCCTGAACTGCATACTTACTTACCTAAAGCATTCCTCAAAGCACCTCATCATATAATCCCAGAGAAAGTCTGTGCTTAGGGAAGTGATCAGCAGATTCACGGTTTTAACAATCTCAGAGGCATTTCTGTTTTCTTTGATTGTACTGTAAAAGAAGGGGAGGAAATAAATATGTCTATGAAAAATCCTGAATTACAAGAACACTGTATCTGAAAAATTGTATCTCATTTGACCATTTGTAATTTATTTCTAGAGAGGCTGACAAACCCTGATATAAATAAAAATATTACTATTCTTGTATAGGAAGGTGTTTGCATAATGCTATCCTGAACAATATTTATACTGATACATTCTCTTAAAAATAAATGTAAGGGGGCCTGTTGTGGTGCCTCACGTCTGTAATCCCAGCACTTTGGGAGGCTGAGGCAGGATGATCACTTGAGGCCAGGAGTTCCAGACCAGCCTGAGCAACATGCCAAGACCCTGTCTCTATAAAAAAAACCTAAATATTAGCAGGGTGTGGTGGCACGTGCCTATAGTCCCAGCTACTTGGGAAGCTGAGGCAGAAGGATTGCTTGGGCCCAGGAGTTTGAGGGTGCAGTGAGCTATGTATGGCAGGCCATTGCACTCCAGCCTGGGTGACAGAATGAGACCCTGTCTCCAAAACAAACAAACAAACAAAAAAATCCAAAAAACCAAGAGGTATTGTAAAAAGAATTTGTATAGAAAACCAGTTTTAGTCCACCTGTAGTAGGTAATTACATACTCCATTGGTGGAATAACATAGCACAGCCATTCAGCATGGAAGTTTGGCTAAAATTCTAAATGTACATTTTTCAGTGGCTCAGGAAATTTGTCCTACAGAAATTATGGCATAGGTACACAAAGATGTATGCAAAAGGATACCACTGCAAGGCCATTTAAAAATACTGAAAATAGAAACTACCTCCAAGTCAATCAATGAGAGATTGGCTAATCAGTCAGTATTTATTAAATAAATGATAAATCCTTAATGAGTAATCTAAGGCAACCATTATATTCAATAGAACAGTGCAGAGCTACTTACAACTTGGTCTTAAAAACAGGCCACTTAATAGCTATTGTAATTCCATCTTTAAAATAAAAGATAGGCATCTATGTATTTATGTCTGCAGTAAAAGTTTGGAAAGAAGTGAAAAAAATTTATGTTTTTCTCTTAAGGGTGGTTGGATTATGGGTCATATAATTTTTCTTAATACTTTCAAATATCAATAAATTCTGCAATGAGCATATATTACTTTCACACTCATAAAAATAGTATCTATTCTCATTCTGGGAGAAAAAGCAAACACTAAGAATTATCAGTACACTTAAAATTAATAAACCAGAAAAATCTTAAAAGTGATTTAAATTTTCAATATACTCAATGCCAATTCTGGCAGAAGGAAGTTACATACACATCCTGCCTCCACTTCCCGAACTCATTCCCCTCCCTGTCCCTCCTCTCTTCTCCTCCTAACTTACCACTTGGGTACACTAGACCAAGTCGCCTTGGTTGAACATTTTTATACTGGATCAATAAATACTGTCTGTACACTCCAGGGTGGGAAAAAGACTACATTAGACTTCTTTTAAACTCTTCACAGTACCTAGCAGAGAACCATTGATTCACCTTTTTTGGCTTCAGAGCACAGATTATTTTAACAAGTGGTCTCACCTGCTGCATCTCCACTTTCTCTACTGCTTCACAATTTATCATAGTACTGACACAGAAAAAAAAATCATAGCACTGGGGAGGGAGGAAGAGGTGAGAAGTTGGAGGCCAAACCCATACCTTATCAGGGAATTTCCACTCTGAGTGTAGCTAAGTTGAAGATCAGAGCCAAGGGCATCTCTACAGTAAGAGTAAAAGGCCCTGATGACTTCCAGAAACAAATTCCCAACCACTTGGGGCCCTGCAAGAAAAAGGAAATGGTCACAGAAAGATCAACCATCCATTCTGAAATCAATAAATGACATAAACATAAAACATACCTACAGTAACTCTGTCTATGTAGACATTTTATATAGCCTAAAACGTACGGAAACTTAACTTCAGTGGTGACAACTTCAGCTGAGGTAGTAACATTCATGAAAATAGCGGACATTTCTGTAGCATTTACTATGTGCTGGACACAGTTCTAAGCATTTTACATCTATTAACTTATGGAGTCGTCACAACAGCCACGTGAGCAGGCACTACACTCTTGTCCCTGATTTCACACAGGGTGATGACGGAGGAACAGAGAGGGTAAGTCACTCGCCCAGGCCGCATTCTGCCAGCTGGAAGCAGGGCACAGGCTACATGTGTTAAGTGTGTACAAACTGCTTGGCCGGGACATTACTCAATAGAACTATCCAGAGAGTGTTGCAACTTCCCTATTCTGAATTCCTTTAATCACGAGCTAGGACAACACAAAAGAAATAACACCAATCCTGAAAAGAGAATAAAGATGGCACAAAAGAACTAAGCTGGCTGCATGTTAAAGAAGCCTCATTGCCAATCGGGCGGTGGATGGGGAGGACATTTCTGCTCCACAAACAGCAACCGTCAGGCAGCTGAGGGACTGGCTGCTCATGTGTGTCCAGAGGGATGAAAACACAATCAGTTCAGAGGAAACGAAAACTGTCAACATTTGTAAAATGCAATCAGCAGATTAATCCATTCTTTCACACTTCCTTTTCATAAATCCAAAAGATGTATCTCTCAGAAAACCATTTTCGTGACAAGTTTCATGTGTATTTTATCTACAGCATTAGAATGCCATTTTTTTTTTTTTTGAGACAGGGTCTTTGCTCTGTCACCCAGGCTAGAATGCAATGGTGCGATCATAGCTCCCTGTAAACCTCGAAGCGAGCTTCCCACCTCAGCCTCTTGAGTAGCTGGGACTACGGGCGTGCGCCACGACACCCAGCTAACGTTTCTTATTTTTGTAGAGATGGGGTCTTGCTATGTTCGCCAGGCTGGACTCAAACTCCTGGCCTCAAGCAATCCTTCCACCTTGGCCTCCCAAAGTGTTGGGATTACAGCCATGACCCACTGTGCCCAGCCAAGAATGTCAAACACTTTTACAAAATGAAGGCAATTGTGTTGTACTAACTCACGGAGGAAGAAATGAGATGTGGCTAAAACCCAGCAGCAAAAGAACGGACAGGACTGACTGACCATCCTGTGCCTTCTAGTTCTACATAATTGACTTGTTTGCCTCTTAAGCATGTCTTCCTTCAGATGACTAAATTATCAGAAAGAGCAAATTAAACAACTGTTATGGTTGGGCAGAAACCTGATATTCAATTTCTTCCGAAAAACATAACCCAGAGCTCAAGCTAGCCACACCATTTACTTGGCTCACCACGGTACATGGCTGTGACATAAAACATACATCTCTAAAATGCTAAGTAACATTTTCTTCTTGGAATACTTCTCCTGAGTTACACAGCAAGCTCCCAAGACATTTGTATAACTTGTTTCACTTTTGGACTAAACCAGGACTTTTCAGAGCTAGAGTTACTCCACACTAACAGAAAAATCTATTTAGATTGAGGCGGGAGGGGAGGGATGGGAGGAGGTGTCTGAACAAAGCACAGATACCTTTAGGTAGCACATAAAGGGTAAAGCTTGGAAGAACAAATGCTTCTTCATACTCTGACTTTGGCTGAGAGGAACTACAGTTGCACATGTCTTGGAATAAAAGCTCTTCTTTGTGACATGAGTAAGTGTCTCAGGTGGGATTCATCTGAGTGCAATCAGGTAAGCAGCAGTGTCCTGACAGAGCTTAGCAAATGACCTGCCCCTGCCCAACCTTAGTCTGTGCATCTGTAAAATGGGTACAGAAAGAGAACCCATCTCAGGGTTGTTGGAGGTAAGGAGGTATGTCTGGTGATAAACATGAAATGATATATGCAAATCACCCGGCACACAACAATTGCTCAAAAAATGGCAGCTATTGTTATTATTCACACAGGAATAACACTCCAGGACCTCAGAGTCTCCCTTCCTTCTAATGGACCCGAAGCCCTTTCTCCTTTCTGTCCCCCTAGGGCTGGCCCCCTCCTGCACACAGGGGGTGCTCCATGCCTGTCTGAGTGAATAAATGAAGTGCCTCCATCCTGAGGCCAGAGAGAGGCAAGCACCCCACTAATGCCCTCAGCTCTCCTGTTCTCTGCAAGCAGCAACCAGGAGGTGGCCCACCTGGGCACTCAGATGATACCCTCGAGCTTGAAACCAGTGGGGAGATGGGGATCGTTTCCCTGTTATGGGGCTCTGGTAACCAGATGTATCATCTTCTGGTGAACGGATATTGCAGCAAATTTATTTTTAAAAAGTGAGGGAGAAAAGGTCATTTTTCTCAACCAATGCTCACAGGATGATTGTGCATAAGAGAGAACCTCCAGTAACCAGAATCTAGTTCAAAGCCCCTTCACTTTGCGGTGAAAATGTTTTCATTCTACACAGTGAAAAGAAGTGGCTTGTCCAGGGTCAGGGTCACTGGGCAAAAAGATGGAGGAGGTACCCTATGTACTTGAAAATAAAACCAAAGCTCATTCAAAGTGTAACATTAGATTGAAAAAACATACTTAAGAAGTAAATACCGTATGTGCTCTGCAGATACATATACAGATGTGCACAACAGGAGCTCAAGGTGTTTTCCTAATAAAAACATTCAAATTATTGTGCAAAACTTTAAAGTGACCACAACAGATATGATATTAATAATTGAACCATATATTAATAACATGACTTCAAGATTTTGAAATTACATTAAAAATAATGCATTGGCTGTATCTCACTGTGTTTTAATTCCCTGGAAACAGGTAATCTGTATTTGGCATATGATGGTAGCAGTGTTTCTAACATTACCTATTTCTGGCTTGTCAAGCAAACTGACGAGGATGCGGAAAGGCTTCAGGTAGGCGTGATGGCGTTCCTCAACATCAGCATCTACGAACTTCTGGTGCAATATCTCAGCAAGGCTCTGTTTTTTTTTTTTTTTTAAAGCCACATATTAGGATATTGTGTATAGTAAAATATAGCAACATTATCAGTTGTTCTAATTGTTAAATACTCTGGGATAGAAAGAAAACCCATCACCCAGCATGCAACAAATACACTGCAGTCCTCCAAACCATGTACCAAGGAACATGCCCAACATCTACTGTGAAATCTCACAAAGACAGCCACCGAAGAATCGTGATCAGGAAAGCTCCTTTACCTCAACTAAAAGATCCTTGGAGTATTTTTCAAAAAAATAAGATGATTGGTCTTCGTAAGAATTTGAGATTTCAGATTCCGGCACAATGGTATTTCCTTTAATGTCTGAGCCTATAAAAGAAAAAGCAGCACGAGCTGTAAAGAGATCTATGCTTTTAAAGCACATCATGTCGTGCAAAAGTCTCACACTCCAATATTTTTAAAAATGTAATTCCTCCAACAGAAAATCCAAATCAGATCCAGAAAGACCAAGTCACATTTTCTTCTTCCGACAGTGATATGGCTAATGATCAGATATGCATGATTCCATCTCAACAGGCATCAATTTAATTTGCTCCAAGAATTTGCTCTGTCTTTTACAAGCATGATTACTAGCATATAATGGAATGAAGATCACTTTTTAAAATCAGTGTTTATTTGTCTAGTACTATGTGGATCAAGATAGTCTTATATATATGCACCCCTCACTTTGGCCTTGGATAAGTCTAAGAGCTCCTCAGGACAAGAAAGAACATCCTCGTGGTATAAGCAAAGAGTCTGGGGTCCCTGGTGACACAGCTAAGTGAGCTGCCCACTGTCCTCTCTAGGCGCCTATGCAGAGCTTGTCAAGGCCCACTAGGAGCAGAGCTGTGCATTTAACAAAATCATCCCTTTGATAAAAATCCTTAAAGACTCTATAAGTATTCTTAAATTCCTTAACAGCTTCTCATACAATGACTTTTAAGAGTTTTTAAACTAGGGAAAAGAGAGAGAAGACAGATTGAATAGGACGTTCTGAGGTTGTCACAAGATCTATACATTGAGAGTCAATAAAAGCTGTGAAACCCTTTCACAATGGCTTTGCACACCACCTTTTCTTAGGTAAATGAATATGCGAATTTAGAAAATTCATGAAAGTGCTACCCTTTAAGCCCTGCAATTTCCCAGACGCCGTCCCCAGGTAGCCTTCCAACCAGCAGTGAAGGGCTCTTTGCCTGCGAGTTTATAGGCCGTCCACAAAGACACACTGACACACAGAAACAGCCCAGGCATCCTCACGATCCCCGGAGTTATCCTAATGTCTCCCAGGACATTCCCACTTACACAAACCTTCTCCTTTATTTACATATACTCCACAATATTCGTGGGCTTTCTTCACATACATGCTCATCTCATGAAACTTCACCATAGCAACAGGCTTCTACTTGAATAAGGTTTAGCTACAATTTTTTTGTGGTATTTCAAGCTTTTAAAATGAAATTTAGTTGGCATCTTTAAAATCTCACTTATTATTTCCATTTTTTAAGAAAAAACAAAACAAAACACTGCAAAATAACCAAAGCTACGTGTAGGCGGTAGACCTGAACTGACCAGTACCATACTTAGTCAGTGTGGTACCTTTCTACGCTTCATGATTCAGAAATACATCACCAAGATTGAAACTTACTCCAAACACCAGCCCTAATAGGTTTCACATTCACTTTGATTTTAAATGACTGCATTCTGCTCAGTACCTAGTAACCACGCATAGAGTCTTCTGTTCAGAGACATGTCCCTTCTCAGTAGGGTCTGGGTGGCGGCTGAGAGAATATGCACGATGTCAGATCTGAGGAGGGGGATGGCTCTCTCATCGGAATCCTACGAGAAGAACAGGGAAAACTTATTGCAAGGGAATGATAGGGTAGACTGTTGACTTTTTGGCATGCAGCTCTTCCTTACTGGTCTACAAAGCTTTATCTCAAAAAGGGTTGGTTCTTTATGCATTGCCCATGGAAAGAAGTTATTCAACAATTGTTATGAAAACATTATCTTCACAAAAATGAACAATCAGCTGAAAGCAAAAGGTGCTCATGGAGTGGCTGAGTTCTCCTCTCCAGACGAAACTGTTGGAGATCTATGCCCTCTACCCCATGCCGTGGGGAATAGCTGTGACTTACTCAGAATAACACAAATGACTTACCAGACAAGTATAAAAGGGGAAGAAAAACAGAACGATTTCCAGATTATTTCTTTGCACGAGAACATTTGAATCCAACAGTGAAGCACATAAAGATTTCACCTGTAAATGATGAAACGACATTAACACTATATTCCAAAGACATTTAACATCATTTTCAGGCTACTCTTTATAGTCATAAAAATGAAATTAACTTCTCCTGGGAATCCTGAAATCACCGTGTTAAACCACGTGGAAGAGAACAACTAGCTGTAGGTCAGGAAAGTGAGGGTTCCAGCTCTAGGGCTGGGGGGCTGCGTGACACCAGGAGGACATTTGGCTGCAGGCCTCGCTTGTTCCATCTGAGAGCTGCAGGGTTTGGGACCAGATGGTCAGGTTTTAAGATCTCAAATTCTGTGATCCCAGAAGGATCCAATGGGAACTTTAGGTTAAACTAAAACTCTGAAGACAGGTGGTCAAATGGATTCTAGATCAATTCAATACATATTTTGAGTGTCTTTTCTGAATGCGGACAGGTGTAACACAGAGGCCTGATAAGTAAGAGCCAGAGACAAATGCTGGGATGCAGAAGAGGGGAGGGAGAGCTCTTCAACTGGGGGGGCAGCGAAGCTTTGTGGGAAAGCTGGGCCCCGAAGGGCAGGAAGGAGCCACAATGAGACTCTCAGAGAAGGGCAGCAAGGGGCAGTCGGGCAAGACGAGGATGGCCCGAGTGAAGGCACAGCCTCCCCGAGGCGCAGGAGTGCAGAGGGCTGGAAGGGGACAGCGAGGTGTGCAGGGGGTTGGGAGTAAACTGTCAGAATACTGCTGAGTTTGCACTCTATCTGTAGGCGACAGGAAGCCAGATATTTTAAAAGCACAGGTTAGATACGAGCAAAGCTACGCTTCAGAAAAGCAAATCTCTCATAATTGGTAACGACTGGACAGGAGAACGGGATGGGCAGAAACCAGTTGGGTCTGAGAGTAAGAGACAAGAAGCCAAATCAGGGCAGTGAAAATGCAAAGAAAGAGACAAAGGCGAGACTGACGGGGCAGGAAAGAAACACATGCGTGGGGGTCTCCTATGTTCCAATTATCCATTTTTCCGTTTAATCCCCAGGGAGACCCTGGGAGGCATATCTACAACTCCCACTTTGCAAAGAGGAACGGACTCAGAGGGGGAAGGAACTTACACCAAGTTGCAAACTTAACCTGCGAATTCAATCTGAACACTTCAAGTTAGAAGAGTGGGTGCACCACCAGGTGGCGGCAGACACAAGCCATAAAAACACAGAGGTAGGTTTGGGAAAAAGAGACAAGTCCCTGGCAAGTTCCCTTTTAAGGTCGTGCAAAGGGATGTCACTGCCAGGGAAGACAGCGTCCCTTGAAGGGCCTGGACAATCTGGGTCTGAGAGCAGGGATGGGAGGCCAGAGGGGAGGGAGTGGCAGCGTGCGGGTGGGCGGTGGTCCCTGTGACATGGGGCGGGGGAAGGAAACAAGATTCCAGCCCAGCTACAGACCCTCTCCATGCCGAGGCCTTCCGAGTGCCATTTACAGCTAACAGTGTTGCTGAAGAGTGTGAAGACTCCAGAAGCGCCCTCCTTTGGGAGCAATGCTTATTTGAATCCATAAATCTTAATGCATATGTTAAAAAAAATCACCACCATCCTCCATTGCACGATGCCATCGTGATGCACCCCCTTGTCCTGCTCAGCGGCTCAGCACCTCACACAGACTGACACTTGGCATGCCTCTGTTTCCTGACGTCCCTTTGCAGCCTCGGTGACAACCTGCCCAGGAGGACACTGTGCCTGCGTGCCCCGTGAGGAGCAAAGCACCCACCGTGAGCTGGTAATCGGTCCCCAGCATGTACTTCTGCTCCTTGCCAGGGTGGCTCCTGTTGATGTGGCCCACCACGAAGAGCGAGGCGGGAAGGCGAATGGACGGGCTCAGCAGGACGCTGCCCCAGAGCGCGGCGTAAAACACCTCTTTGCCAACTACCAGCGACAGTCTCAGGAGCAAAGCGTCTGTTCTGTGGATAGGAGATGAGAGAATCCAAGGGCTTGTCCCACCTTCCCAGTCCCCGGCTCACTGTTCCGTGAACACAGTGCACTCGCCCCCGCCTGGAGAAACATCACCTTCCTCGCCACTGTAGCGGCTGCCATCCCTGCCCTTTCGTGTTTGTCCACCTGTCAGCTGTCACGCTGAATCTGAATTTGCTAAAACAAACATGTCACTGGGAGGTGCAGCTTCTTGGCCAACAGAAAGCGTCTGACCAGCTGTATACCGTGGGGCAGACAGACGTCCCCACTCAGCCTTGCCATGGACACTGAAGGGGACGAGCAAATGAGCCACTTCATACAGAAGCACAAGGAGTCTTTCATGTGTCAAAACACAAAGAAAAGGCTGGCGTGACTGATGGAAGACGTAAGCATTTATATACACACCACCATCCTGAGCACAGCCAAAAATGGGCCAGGTGACATTTAACTTTGGAAATACTGGGGACGAAATTGGCCTGTGCCTCCCTTTACCCTGCCAATTCCATAAAGCCTGGAATGGTGTTTTCTTTTACTCTGCCCACAGCACTTGCACTCCAAGGAGCTCTTGCATGAGGCCTGACACTTATTTGTCTCTTATCTTTATCTGGGTCTCCCATGGCATGAAGTCAGCGCCTCCACGTGTGTCCTTTCAGAGAAGCAATGTTGTCAGCGGATCAGGGATTGTTTTTCCACTGATGGGGACCAAGGCCAGGCCCTTCTCTGCTCGGTGGCGTATCTGCAGCCGACTGAGGCACTTCCCTGTCCACACTAGACACGACCCATAGGCCCGGTGACAGCGTCTGCCAGTGAACAGCAGAGGCAAATTCCACGAAGGGATTTCACCGAATGCCGGATCTGACTAATTACCTGAAAGGATTCGGTTTCCCACGTGCTCCCTATCTGCAAAGACAACAGAAACACTGACAGAAGGACCAGTCTAGTGTAACGTGGTGGTTTACCCAGGTTTCCGGAGTTGGCCCTTCTGCGTCCAAATCCTGGTTCTCATGCTTCCTGGCCGTGGGACTTAGGACAAGTTTAACGTCCGTGTGTGTATGCAGTCCCCGATGGGACAGGGAAAGGAGCTTCTATCTGTCAGCCTAGGAGAACAGAGCCGGTGCCAGGGCCACATCGCCCAAGTGCCAGCTCGGGTCCGCCCTGTTTGGGGGCACAGCCCAGCGTCCAGACGGGCATCTGACACGTGGCTGGCACTCGAAAACCTGTCCGATGAAATACAAAAAATATCTAATACCTTTTCATATTAAAAATGACTTCTGGTCTCCTTAAAACTCGCCTGAACTTTTTTGTCTCATAAAATATTTGTGGGAAATAATGCATGCTATCATCTTCTTAGAAAAAACAAAAATGAAGAGGTGTTAGGTAATGGCCAAATGGTAGGAAAAGTACACAGAATGACTTAGTGGTTGAAATCATTGATTGATCTTCTATTAAAGCCTGGGCAAACAAATAGACCTCATCTTTGCCCAGCTCTGGAAACAACATCGCAAACATCATAACGCACACACACTGATATTCCAGACCCCTTTCCTTAGAACAGCGTATTTTCCAAAGTATGTTCCACAGAACACTGGCCACTACAGATGTGTTACAGATGAGGGGTTCCACTGACAAAAAGCCTAAGAAAAGCTGACTATGCTACCCCTTCTCCAATATTCTGAGTATACTGGCTAGTTACCTGTATTAAAGAAATGTCGCTTTATTTCTTAAGTCTCATTTTATTCCAAAAAGAATTAACGGGGACTAACAATTTATTTAAATGACGTCACAGTAGAGAAAACAGTAACTATGACAAAACTTTGCTATGAAGGGCAAAAATAACTGGTTAAAAACTAAGATCATCTCAGTTGTTAAATTTCAAAATTAGGCTGGGTACGGTGTCTCATGCCTGTAATTCTAGCACTTTGGGAGGCTGAAGTGGGAGGATCACTTGAGACCAGGAGTTCAAAACCAGCCTGATCGAGAGCAAGACTCCCATCTATACAAAAGACAGAAAAATTAGCCAGGTGTGGTGGTGCACGCCTGCAGTCCCAGCTACTTGGGAGGCTGAGGCAGGAGGCTCACCTGAGCCCAGGAGTTTGAAGCTGCAGTGAGCTGTGATGATGCCACTGCACTCCAGCCAGGTGACAGAACAAGACCCTGTCTCAAAAAAAAAAGCACAAAAAACCAACCAAAATTAGCATTCAGTTTAGAGTCCAGAACTCTGTACTTTTAATTCAAAATGAACCAGTAACCAGAAACAAAAAACCCAACCCTCAACTCCTGACTCTGTCCTTTCCTTCCTCATTCACTCAGCTGCTGCTCTCACGCCTCCTGCGAAGGCAGTTCGTCCAAAGACACTGACACGATTGGCTCTGCTCAGCTGAGAATGAGTGCATGGTGCAGGGCCGGCACTGCAGACAGCGCACCTCACTGCTTTGGCTCTTCGGGCCTGCAGAACAGACAGCCATGGATCACCGAGCTGTCACTGGACCGCACAGCTTGGGTGTGACCATCTACAACCGAACAGGCAAGGCAGTCAGAATGGCAGCTGGTACCACGAAATGCAGGTCGGATATGGTGCCAAAGAAAGGGTAAAAAAGTCTAGACCCAACAGAGCTCACCATTGCAGTGCCTGAAACCAACCAGAAGAAATGTCCATCGATACTTTCTAACTATTTAAATAAGGGTTTCTCGATCTCCACACCACTGACTGGTGTGGAGGCTGGGTAAGTCTTTGCTGTGGGAACAACTGTGCATGTTGTAAACTGTGTAGCAGCACCCCTGGGCTCTACTGGCTACATGCCAGCAGTTCCCTTCCCACTCCCAGTTGTGACAACCAAAAATATCTCCAGATATTGTCAAACGTCTCCTGGGGGGAAAAATCACCCTCTGATTGAGAAGCACTGATCTAAACAGAAATTTCCAGTGGCCAGTTTTGCTTTCTTACAAATCATTTAAAACATTCACCTCTTCTCATGTCCTTAAAAGAGGAGTATAGTATTTCCCCCCCTTCTAATCTTGTTTTATTAGTACAGCAAGAAAAGTACATAACTATTTCATGGGTACCTTAAAAAAGGACTTATGGCTAGTAGCAGGTGATCTATGGGACTCAAAGGGTTAGAAAGCCAAATGAATAATAAGTCCTAACACTGGCCACAGTTTCCATGCCTTATGGTTCACGAAGAAGCACACACCCGCAACAGTCTACGCCTACACGAAACCTCTGAGTCACTCCAGGCTTCATCAGCCCCAACCTCTCACCCCTTTGCAATTTCTCCTGACATGGACACCACAACACTGCACCGTGCCCTTCTCTTTCTGTTTCCACACAATATTTACTGGGGTGTTCCACTCAGTTCCTAAGCATTTTTGGGAATAAACAGTTGCCAAACTGTCTCAGACTAAAATGGATACAGCAACAAAAAAATCTCATGTAGTCACCTCAATGACCGTGCCCACAACACACCGCTCAGCGATGGTACAATCTTTGACCACCATCTCCCTTGGAAAGCTGACAACAATAACTTCTGGTGGCTGCACTGGACTTGGTTTTCTGTCACAGCTAAATCTATTCAGTGATTCATGAAGCTTTACTCAGCTCTTGGTTCAATGTCAAGAAATCATAATGTTTGGAAAAAAAAATCCATGTTAAGCAACATTAGCAACTATTCAAATGAACCCTCATTTATCAACTTAAGAGAATAAACAAAAACACTCCAACTATTTACATGCTTCTAGTGTGATTGACACTTACTGATTTAAAAGACCACAGTAAGTTTTGGCAACTAACGTATCAGATAATGGAAAAAAAATACACACACAAACATACACACACATCTGCTATCAGAACATGAATGTAGCAGAACTTCTAGAAAGAGCTGGGGACTAGGAGCCCAGGGACATGGAGTCTGGTCTTCCATGCTGCCTCCATGAGACCCTGACATTCACTAGTGCAACACACACTCACAGGTCCACGAGGCTCAAAATGGCAGCAAGAGAGATTCTGCCTCCTGAGGAAGTAATCGTGAAGGCGGATCCTCCACTGGGAAATGGGAAGCCACCGCTCCGATTCCTTGGTTTCCTGGAGGCTGGGGGGCACCCCAAGTGGACCTTGGGTTGATTCCCTGATTCCACCGAGCTGCCCACACCCTCCAGACCACAGCCAGCACCACAGGCGGAGGTAACTCGGCTGGGGCCTCTGGCACGGGGGGGATGGGCACATGGCATTGTGTAATCAAACGGAAACTTTTTCACAAAGCCACCGGTCATGTCCAGTGACACATAGGCTCTTAAAACACGTCCCAATAACAGAGATTAATCGCTGTGGCACCTCTCTGAATACTTAAAATGCTGGAAGTGCCTTCTTACTTTACAATTCTCCAGGAAAAAGAAGACACTGTGTATATTCAGTAGTCTCAATGGACACACACTTTCTCCTGTTCCTAAGTAGCGACAAAAAACAAAAAAACAAAAACTGCATGAACTTTTGTGCATATGAACTTTACAAATTTCTCCAAGATGCTGCTGAAATTTGTCAAGATGTTCTGCTTTGCATCACACTAAGCTGCCTTTTCAAGGCCTGCCTGTCTGTGAAACCTGGCTTAGCTTTTTCATTTAGAAGCAGCCTCGTATAACGGAAAGGAGGACTTTAGAATTGGACACATGTAGATTAGAACCCCGGCTCTGATTCTCGTGGCTGTGCAACTGGGAAGCCTTCTTACCTTCACCTGTAAATGGAGGTGACTCCTGGAACACAGGAACTCAGCGTGACAATGTGCACGATCCACACTGCAAGTGCCCAGGTAGGGTCCACTCGTTTCCTCCACTAAAGGGCCATGAAAGTGTGTGTCTTCCGCTCCGCAAATCCGTAACGGGACAGGACATAATAAAACCTGCACTATGGCCTCCCTTACTAACTAGCTATGTTTCTCTTGGTTAAGGATCTCATCTCTCTAGGCTTGGGACTTCCTCTTTGCTACGGACAGTGAGATTCCGGGGGGAACACAGTATTTTGTCAAGTCGTGACCATCAGGGAATGTGAAACATCACCCCCGCACCTTCCTCCGCTGCCTGCGTCTCTGCACTTCCTTCCCCGTTTCTCACAAAGTAGTAGAATAAACGCAGCCTGGACAAGAAGCCCACCAACCTGTCATAGATCTCGGAGCCCTCCTCGAGGCCGGGCAGCAGGCCGACGATAAAGGCCTGCAGACTGGGCAGGAGCAGCTTCTGCAGCGGGAGGAAGTATTTCTCGTACAGGCCGAGCAGCACGGGCCTCACCGACATTGCCGCGTGTGCCAGGAGAGGGAACAACCCGCAGCTTTGAGAGAGAACAAGAGGCAGCAGAGCAGCAATGAGACACCCAGGCAGAAGTCCCAAATGGTAAGCCAGCTGGAGGGAGTTTAAAAAGCAAACAGCCGGGAGTGGTGGCTCATGCCTCTAATCCCAGCGACTTGGAAGGCTAAGGCAGGAGGATCGCTTGAGGCCAGGAGTTCGAGACCAGCCTGGGCAACATGGTAAGACCCTGTCTCTTAAAAAAATGAAAAAAAAATTTGCCAAGTGTGATGGCCTGTGCCTGTAGTCCCAGGTACTCAGGAGGCTGAGGCAGGAGGATCGCTTGAGCCCAGGGGGTGGAGGTTGCAGTGAGCTGTGATGACATCACTGTACTCTAGCCCAGGCAATACAGAGAGACCCTGTCCCAATTAAAAAAAAAAAAAGAGCAAACAGATAGCCTTTTAATCTGGTGATCTGGATGTGTGTTTGACATTAGATGGTCATAAAACTATTAGGTAAAGAAAGAGCAGGCAAGTCAGCTGTCTGCATGTTCAGAGGGAAGTTGGAATGGATATACTCCAGAGGTGAACCGTGGTCCTCTCCTGGCGATTGCTTTATGATTAACTGTTGCACACCCCCCACACTTATATTGCTCATTTGTTATTTTCCAATCTTCTGGGCTGAAATGTGGGTTACTCGGGTAACAACAATGCAGCAGAAAAGCAACTGTACCTGTAGAGGAACAGGTCCTTGGCCAGCCATTTGGTCCCCACGATTTTAAAGATAATCTCGTAGGTTTCTAGGGCTTTTAAGTGCACACCACTGGGCAGAGCAGGATGCAAACACTGAGCTAGTCTCTTGCTGATGATAAGCCGTCTGGGCAACAGGGAATATCTCAGGTTACTCTGCAGAGCCTGTAAGACAAGAGGAAAACACACGAGGAAGAAGGCAGCGACACACACGGTGGAGAGTGAATCTGCCAAGGACAGGATGGCCACGATCAGGCCCTGGTGTGGCTATATGAAAGAGGCGTATGGACAAGAGGACAGAGGGACTGCACATGGAGGGTGAAGGAGCTCAGGAACTTTCACCCCAAAGTATGACTCCTTGATATAAAGAGTATTTTGAATTGCAGGCCCCTCAAGATCCACAAAGCATTAGACGGGGCTTTCCCTCTATCTGCATAAACCGGGATTGAGGAGCAAAAGATCCAAGGGGGCAACTGACTTCCCTTCCTCTTCCTGTTATCTCAATACATTGCAGAATGCAACCAGACCTGGCCCAAATCAGTTAAAACAATACCTGTCTCTCGTGTTATCTGTTTCCCCCATCCATTCATGCTCCCTAGCAACCATTTACCCTCTAAACAGAATTACCTATACTCTTCATTTCCCCTCTCCCGTCTAAAAGGCTTGTATAAAAATATCCGAACTTCAATGGGATACTGAGTGATCACTCTGTGATTCTCCCCAGGTGCATGGTAAATAAACCCTTCTGTTACTAATCTGTTTTAATTGGGAGTTGATCTTTCAGGAAACTTACGGGGGAAAGGGCAAGTTTCCCCTTACTGCTATGAGGGCCTGGGGAAGCTCCCCCACAGCAATGCTGGAAAGGAGGCAGGCACCAGAGTGACCTTGTAGCTACCCAGCCAGCTTCTTGGTCACACCTCGGAACCCACGCAGAGGTGAGGGCTGTGTGCTTCTCTATCTCGGGAAGCCAGCCATGTACACACGAGACTAAGCAGAACATAGGCCATTTATCAGGGTAGGTGACCTCCGGTCCCTGAAGACCCTTGTTTGTGTGCCATGGAAGCCCCTGGATTTTTGCTCCGGGAGAAAATGAGGTCTGAATTATCACCTTGTTCTCCCAGCTCAGCTTCACAGCCAGGTGGCTCTGAGTGGGGGCTCACCCAGAAGACAGAGATTGTGGGGTGGGGGACACTTCCAGGCCCTGACACCTGGTACCTGCACCAGCCTGAGATGGTGCTGGGAGGGACCTGTGTTTTGTGAACTGAAATAAAATCTTAAGCTCCCCTCCCAGCTGACTGAATGGACCCCTCTTGGCCAAGGTGATACCCTAAAACTGAGTTGCTGGCCATGAGAAGGGTGGCCAGACACGCCTCATCTTGTCCCCCTCCCTTCTCGTAGACATCCTTGGTAACTCATTAACAGGCCTAAGGCCATGCAAGACACACCTGCAGGTCTTCAATACTCAGAACAAATCATTTGAGTCTGGGTCTATGTCTGGTATATGTCTGGTGGCTTGTCTCAGATTAACAGACTTCCTTATCTTAACTTAAAACATTATAAGCCTTTAGACAAAACTTCATTTCTTCAACCAATTACAAATCAAAGAGTCTTTAAACCCATCTATAACCTGTAAGCTGCAGCACCCTCCGCTTGACATGTCCCGCCTTTTTGGGCCAAACCAATTTACGCCTTTCAAGTATTGATTTATGACTTTACGTGCAATCCCTGTCTTCCTGAAATGTATAAAATCAAACTGTAACCCAGCCACAGAGTCCACTTGCTCAAGGCTTCTTGGGCGTGGCTCCGGGCCATGGTCCTCAAATTTGGCTCAGAATAAACCTCTTTAAATTATTTTACAGAGTTTGGCTTCTTTTCCATTGTCAGTTCCACAGGAGAAAAATATCACCACCTGGCTGGGACAGAGCAACAGTACTCCCGAGCTCGGCTTCTGTATGCAGGACACGTGCCCCGTCTGTGTGCAAGCATCCTCGGGTACTTGTACCCAAGAAACACGGTCAGGAGCGTGAACAGACGGACGCTGTTCCTAATGACTTCATCTTATAACTCAGAGCATCTGACATTATGGTGGAACAGTCCACATAACCAGCTCATTCACTTCCACAAATATTTACTGAAAGCCTACAGGCTAAAGTCCACAGGCTACAGCTAAAGTCCACGCTTCTTAAAAGGTCATTCAGAGGCTTCCTTAGTATGGCTCCTGCCCACTTTGCCTCCAGTCTGTGGGTCCCGCCTGCCCCTCCGCCTGCCCCTGGCCTGCGCACCCTTCCCATCCACCTTGCTACTTAGCTCAGAGTCCCCTCTCAGGGCAGGGACTATCTTACTCATCTCTGCTGTCTCCAGCACCTTGGACGATGCCTCAAACACAGAGGACAGTGTGGAAGAACACCCAAGACACTGCAACGCCAACTGCATCTGCAGTCCATCCCGGTGTCAGAAGTGCTGGCCCCCAGGCCCTATGACTCTAGGACTATGACAGCTTTCCTCTTGTAGACCAAGAAAAGGATGCACTCAGGTTATGCAGGCGGTAAAGGAGACGAAAACAAGAATATTTTTCACCAGAAGATTGTGGTCCAAATGAATTCTCAAATTCAATAAAATGGTATCTTTTAAAAAATAAGATATACCTAATGGTCATCAAGAAATACCTTAAAACATTATTTATGAAGAGTCTGATACCTTAAAACACAGGGAAAGCCAACAAAACAATGTGGAAAAGGTGCAGCACATTTGGTTGTGCAGGTTTTCAAACATACAGAAAAGCCAGCAGAACAGCCAGGCAACTATATCCCAGCTTCAAGTATCAACTCCTGGCCAGGCTCGAAGACGTGGCTCACAGAAAACCATTCCTATGACTCTGGTGGCTTACTGACCATGTGACAATGGGCTTTCTCCACGGACTCAAGAGCAGAATAGCTAAAAGCTGTCTGCCCCTGTAATGATTATTTTTGTCAAGACAGAGTCTTCTCTTTTTTAAGTCACTACCAAATCTCATCCTTGCTCAATGCATTCTAAGGACTTCTGCTATTTGAAGTGCAAAAGGTGTTAAGTATTTCCTACGGGGGTATCCGGGAGTCTTAAGTGTTTGGTTCCCTCAATCTGTGAACATGACAGGATCCCATCATTCTGCCCTTTTGAACCCAGGCATGGCAATGTGACTTGGTCAATGAGCTGAGTGGAATTATAGGAGTCACTTCTGGCACAGGCTGTAGGAGCCAACTCAAAGCTCATCTCGACCTGGCTCGGTGGCTCACACCTGTAATCCTACCACTCTGGGAGGCCAAGGTGGGAGGATCACTTGAGGTCAGGAGTTCGAGAATAGCCTAAGCAAGAGTCAGACCCTGTCTCTACTAAAAATAGAAGAAATTAGCCGGGCATGATGGTGGCACCTATAGTCCCAGCTACTCGGGAGGCTGAGACAGGAGGATCACTTGAGCCTAGGAGTTTGAGGCTGCAGTGAGCTATGATGGCACCACTGCCCTCTACACAAGGTGACAGAGTGAGGCTTTGTCTCAAAAAAACCAAAAACCAAAAAACAAAATAAACCCAAAAAACCATAAACAGCAAAACAAACAAAATCACTTCTCTTTCCCCTGCCTCTAAGGTAGTAAAAACACAGGTTGAGAGGAAGCCCCTCCCTGCCTAGGTCCCTGAGAAACTTCAGAGAGCAGAAACCACTTGCTGCTCCAGTAAGCCAGAATTAAACCATGTTGTAAAAGTCACTAAGATTTGAGAATGGTTTGTCACCATGGCATACATTCCCTGTCCTGATGATACACCTCTTCTCCCATGAATGCAATTACAAGGACCCACAACCACTCATTTCAAATGAATAGAGCTGATTGCTGTTTCCTCTCATTTACAGGTGTTACCCCACTTAATTCAATGTGAAAAAGACACAGAAAAAGAAAGATAACCCAGAACTGAGGCTGTAACCAAGCAGCACAAGTGGAATGAATACTCATTCGCTGCGTGTTGACCAGTCACTCCAGGCGAACAACGCACAAGTGAGATGGGGAATCACTTTCTGCTGAAGGAAAGGTACACTAAAGATGAGGTCACACTGTTTGCTGAGTGAGGCAAGCTGCAGTTGTCTTCCATTAAGACACAAGAACACGGGATATGAACAGACAGGACTTAGCAAAATGAAAAGACGCTCACCCTTCCTGATAGGAAAAATGCAAATTAACACTACAATGAAATACCATTTTCTTCACCTGTCAGATCAGCAAGTTTAATCAAAGCATACAAATTCAGGCATAGAGCAGAGTGATCCAGAGACCAGGAACAAAGTTAATCAAACCCAGAGACCAGGATTTGGCCAGACAGAACCTGCTAGACTGCCCCTTGGAGCTGTCATGACACTGACCTACCGAGTGTCACTGTTATGACACAGTGATCCTGAGTGTTCACATACTTCACACGGAGCTTAACAAGTGCTTCAAAACGGAGGCTAACAAACAAAAGTGAGGTCTGGTTTAAGTACGTGAGCTTGAGGGTCAGAGCCTCAAATTCCAGTTCCACCATTTTCCAGTTGGGCAAAGTATTTAATCTTTCTGGGCTGCAGTTCCATATGTACAAATGGGGATTGTGATACCTCACAAAGATGCAAGCATCAGATGAGATTCCACATTGAAGAATTTAGCATAATGCCTGGCACTAAGTAAGCAATCCACAAACGTAACCTCTTATTACAACGACAAATTAAAAAATAAGCATAGGATTTAAAGGTGGAGACAAAATGTATTGCATTTTAAAGAATCAACTGAAACCCAACTGTTTACCAGTAATGCCCTTCATTGTCATATAAGCAAACAAGGATACTAGCTGAATGCATTGATGAGAAAGACTGAGAAACACATAGGAGCTAAAACAGGGCCACATGTGAATAATAAGACCTTGTGCTTCCCAAAACTTTCTCTCACTCTCCTCTTTCCCCCAGCTGGCAGAGAGCTGCCACAATTGGAATCACAGCACAGATGGGACAAGCCATTGTCACTCTGCCTGTCTTGCTCCCCTTCTCTACCCAGGCATTTTGCTTTGGTGAGAACGTTCTCCGGCGAGAAACGCTCAGCAAATACTTTTGGGGCAGTTTTGTTGTCCAAAAACCCTAAATGACTGGCTAGGAAGCTTAATATATGCAGTTT